CAATAAGAAGACGTCACGGCTTCCGACTCAGAAGAGTAGACCAGAGACACCCTCTTGTTGGCAGGCTCCAAATACAAGCTCGCAAAGAACCAACAAGGCTACAAAGAAGCTTCCAACTAGTCCCTGACTTCCAGAGACCAATACTCACCAAGCCATCATGGAAGAAGGCCCCAGTCCGTAAAGACAAGGACAAAGAAATAGAGCTCTTCAAGCAATGGTTACAGGAGAGAAATACGAACACTGACCTTGTCATCTACTCAGATGGATCACAATTGGATGACCAAGGCACAACCCGCACTGGATGGGGTTATACCATCAGGAAAGGCGGCACTGCACAAGAAGTATACCGGGGAAGGGGCAGACTTCTACAAGCAGAAGTAGTGGATGCTGAAGTCCATGGTGCTCTCCAAGGTCTTGCAGCAGCCAGGGCAATTAGATACAGAAAACAGCTATATGTCTGCCTGGACAACACATCAGTGGTAGATGGGCTTAATGGGACTCCACCCGAGACATCACAGAACATTTTTCTACGGTTTCAAGAACTTGCCACAGCACACACTCCTGGAGTGACCGTCAAGTGGATTCCTGGACACAGAGATATTGATGGTAATGAGGCTGCTGACACACTAGCAAAAGAGGGCGCCATGCTAGAAACAGACACAACAAACCTTCCCACAATCTCTTGGGTTAAGAGAGATCTCAAGAAAAAGGGCAAGAAAGAGTTCAATCAATGGTGGAAAGACCAATCAGAACCTAAGTATCAAGAAGTATACTCACATACAGTAACTGAAAGAGGCCTTATATCTTTTAAGAGGAGCACTCTACACAGACTTCTAGCGGCCAGATCTGGACATGGCGACTTTGCCAGATACCACGAACGCTTTGGGCATACAGACTCGAACAACCACTGCAGCTGTGGTGAAAAGAAAACACCACAACACATTTTCTTTTGTAGGAGGCTGGGGAAAAATCGGTTGTTGCCTAGGTACTCGCCTAGGACAGCCTGTTTACAATACTTGGGAGAGAGGAGCACAGAATGGGCAAAATTCGTGGAGAAGAGCAAGTTCTTTTTAACAATCTGCCCCTGATAGATAACCTTCCTTGAAGGACCAGATGGATGACCCCAAGGTCATACCGCCGCAACAACGGGGATGGGCCCGTAAGCGGGACTGACTGTACTTATTATCTTGAGACCTCCACAACCCTGCGATGCAGAGGCTCTGGGAGGCGTGGTTTGCACTACTGAGGAGCTACCCCCCACGTTAAAAACAAAACAAACAACAAACATGAGGATCCCAGCATGGTGACGACTCTGATCGTCGGAATGTTTGCGCAGCACATTCTCTAGAGAGAAGCACCGGCATCCCAGGTCTTCCGACAAGCGAGTGCATTGTTCCAGACTGAGTTTAGGACTGCCTGGGACGGGTCAGAAACTTGCACAACAGGAAGAAGGAGCCGACTTACCGGCCAAGAATACGACAGGGATGCGTCGGGCTCGTTGCAAAGTATGCTTGTTTCGTTCCGCCTGAAGCAACTCGAGCCACGCAGTCCCTGGAGCGGAGCTGACTCTTGCTGTCAGATCCTGGAACTCATCCAGGTTCTTCTTTCCATACGTCATCTGCTCGTACTCGAATGCTTGTACCAAACACTCAAATTTGTCCATTTCCTTCATCCAAAGACCCTCCGGCGTTCGGCCTTCTTCATAATCCAGCCAAGCACCTGTGATTGCCTCTGCTACCTTTATGTCGCATGGCTTGATCAAGTCGAAGATATATCGGAAGCCAAGTGATTCAAGCTTGTGCTTCTCATCTTTGGGGACGTTAGATGTGGATGACAAGGGGCTTGCGCGGACTCACGCTTGGGCATTTTGGCGTAGGTCGGAATATCACTGACTACTGACTCGGCTAGATCATGACAAAGTCCTATCATCATGCATTTCTCGCGGTCCAGTGGAGGCTAAGAATTAGTTATGACAAGTCGACGTATGATGGACGACCAACCGGCGCAAACAAACCCAGCAGGGCCAGGCGGAAGCTGTGACTAGCCACAGTCTCGGGGTTCTCAATCGTCCTCAGCCACCCAGTGCGAGGTAGGTGCTTGAGGACTCCCATCAGGTGTAGAAAAGAGAGGGGTGTTTTGTCCAAGGCTGAAATTTTGGATTCCATTTCATGGAGTCCAAGGAGACAGAATGGATGGGCGCATCGTGTCTAGAAGACTAGAACGGCGGGTATTTAAAAGGCACCTCAAAGTGGGGGCGGAGGCGGAGGCGGAGGCGGGGTAACTGCAACGAAAGCCCTTGCCAGCCACCTGCAGGCGTTTTCTCAGTCTCACCAGGCTGTATAGGTTGGTATTAAACGGGGTGGATCCAATCCAGATAAGCCTGTCTACAATAAGGTACACGCATAACAGGCCACCCCGACCCTCACTCGATCACACAGTCCGACACTTCAACGCTTGGGAGGAACATCATAGAACTCAGCGTGAAAGCAATGGTAAAAGGTCTGCCATCTTGATATTCTGTCGCTGCAGATCGGCCAAGCAAGCCACGGTCATCTAGGTAAACCGTTGAGCACGTCCAGGTCTTGACCTATGCAAGGGAAGATGGCTTACCCCATGATTTGACATGCACCTGAAGAAATGCCATGTACTGTGCCACCAGGGTATCGTTGAACTGTGTCTCCTTCGTGTAGTCCCATCCGACTCGATGCCGGAAATCAAGTAGGCGTTGTTTGCAAGACGCGGAGGCCTCTTCAAGGAGATACCGTGGATGAGAGGGGTGCTGCCAGAATTCGTCCTAAGAGGTGTCAGGACAGCCACTTGCCCAGGTCAATTGAGTTGCTCCTTACGGGGTCTGCATATCTGCTCCAATAAATGTTGCGACCAGCATCTAACTCTCTCGCATGGATAAGGAAAAAGTACAGCAAGATTTGAACCGGGAGACTCATTGCGCTATTCCTAACAGCCTGGAGCTGAGCATCAAGAGAGACGATATGCTTTTCCAACATACGATTCAACTGGCTGTGTACCATGCGAGGAACGGGAGTCTTCCCGTACCAGGCTGATGTTATGTCTGCGACCCGCTGCATATCGAGCGTGTCCTCACCAAGGAATTGGAGTGGGCGCATCAGAAGTCGCAGACATGTATACAGCTCGAGCGATCGCGAAACGATCGGGTTCTGTCCTCGTCAGCATTGGATGGCACGGGTAATGATGAGGTACCTTGATGAATGACTCCGCCAACGACAAGAGGGCCGAGAGAGGGCCTTGGCCAATTCTACCCTCTACCAACACGCTGAAGACACATGCCTGTATATAGTGGGAGATATCCGCGTTCGGTGCTTCCAAGCAGTACGCCGTAGTCGACAGGCAAGCCCAGCCTTGTTCATCCTTCGTGATCAATCGCGTTTGGTTCTTGTCTCTGGGGACGAACGGTCGGCAGGGCAGAGTCAGTCGGGGCCCATGGACGAAATGTCCAACCACGGCCACCCTGCTCGGCAGTGGTATTGCGGTGGTTTCAAAAACCGCGCCATACTTGAGGTCATTCCCTAGATCGCCTTCAGTACTAGGTAAGTGCATCGTATGCGGATAGCCATACATTTGTCAAACGACCTAATGACCGCAGTAGGAAAGACGCAGCGGATCGGAGTGCCACTTGAAGCACAGCGCTGGCACCACTCCACTAAAACATTCGGGAATCGCACACACCACAGCAAGTTAGCTTTCTGGGGTCAGGTCCAGGGGAAACGGCCCTACCTTCTTCTTGTCCCGCGAGCATCTATAACAAGCAGCGGAACGCGTCAACTGGTACTTGTTTGGAGCTGATACGTCGCTGGTCCTAGGAAGTTTTGTGAATGTCAGGTAATTCGGCCTTTGATGCTCGGTGCGAAGCCTGGGGCCAGGTCGCCAGGTGTTCTCCACCGAGGGATCCATGTTGTCTATTAGAAACGAAGCAGGCGAGCGGCGAGGTAGCGAGGATTACTAGGTTATGTTCTAGTAGTCGTGCAAGTAAGCACAGCGAGCTATGTGGCGAGCTCATCCTGTTTTAGCGTCCCCGATGATTGCAAGGATAAGGTCAGCCAAATGCGCACCGCAATATTGATCTCTTAGCGTCCCCGACATGAGCAGGGATACGGCCAGCCAGATCTGTGTTGATCTCTTAGCGTTCCCGATGAGAGCGGGGGTGGGTCAGCGCGGCACGGGCCGTGTCCTATTCCCAGAAGAGCGCCGGGCCGTGCCCCAGCGGCTGGAACAAGCGGGACCCCCATGAGCCTACCACGCCCAACCCAACGCCACCTTACCTTGCCTTTGGCATCGTAAGACTCGCCGGAGGATCGTCAATCCGATAACATACAGGCAACAAACCAATATGTGGAACTGAGACTTGTCAGTAGCGCGGTTCCAGGATGGAATCACTGTTGATATGAGTATAATAACAATTCGAGATGATCATTCAAAGCGCATCAGATGGGTTGTGTACATGCAGCTATTAAGCAAGATCCCTCGAGAAACGGTTTTTCGCATTTTCAGAGAATTGGCACCCTCCCGACAAACTATAGTACCTGACAACGTCTTGGGGCCACCAAGAAAGGTGCTGATGCAAGGTTAGGCTGTCTATCGGATTCCCTTCTAGGTCCTGCGTGGTGTATATTGCATGCACATCTGGCTGGAAGAGTCTATCCGATACTCCAACCGGGCTGTACGTTCCGGGATCAAGCATACATGTGCAACACGCAATTGATTGCAAGCAACAGCAGCTCAGAGTATTACAGTATCTTGAGGACGTATAAGATAGCTGCGAGAACGTCGACGGGATCGGCTCTAGGCGTCCGGAAATATCAACTGCGACCATGACACTAATCGAACGCTCGCCCTTTTTAGGAGTCTACCAGACCCTACGTCATTGCTACCCCTATCTTCTATATAGCTTGGTTATTATTTCCTGTTTCCTGAGCAACCTTATCCCGCTACTTGTGGATCTGTTTAAGCCTCCCAATAAGACCATGGCATTCTACCTTCAGTCTGGCATATTCAATGACTGGTTATATGTAGTCCTTGGGCCGCTGGTGCCCCCAATTCTAGAAAGCTGCGTGTCAGTCATGCTTGAAGTCGATCTTGATCCCAAGGAAAAGAAGACGAGCAAAAAGTCCAAATCTTTACATGGGATAGTGAAATCCGTGATGAAGATCCCTACAGCACTCGTTACAATCTACAGGGCGTTTGGGAACCCTTGGAAGTTCTTCCTGATGTCGGCGTTTCAGATAATAGCTACTATTATCTCCTCACAAGTGGCCAACGAAGCGCAAAGTCGAAGACTCAGACGCGAGACAGAGCTGGACGATGTGCTGACCAAGGCGCTGGCCGCACTGGAAGCAGTGGGGAAATTGGATGTACTCAGAACGCCGGCAGCATCGGAGGCACTGGGTACATTGAAGTGGGACGTGGAGGCAGCACTGGCTGCAAGAAGAGGAGTGACCGGGAGCGGAGCACTGGCTGCGGTCAGAGAACTGGCTGGACGCGCTGGGATTTCGCCCTCCTCGGAAGACGCACTCACCAAGGCAAAGTCCAGGTATACCGCCAGCCTTAAACTGCAGGGTGTGATCCTTTTCTCTCAGAAACTCGTACTCTCGTTCGCCTTTATGGCGTGTGGCTTGGGAGGGGTGGACCAAGTCACCCTCACTTCGCTGTCCCACAGAATGTTGGCGTTAGACGACATATGCGACAAGATAGCGGAGAATATGCCAAACACTGGACGGATTTTCCGCTTGATGGCGGAGGGAGCGTCGCCATGGAGCTCGAACGGTTTCAGGACGATTCATGCAAACTTTATCAAGGCATGTCAGGCCACCTGGAAAGCGCGTGTTATGCCTCTGGGCGAAGTACCTGGTTTTAAGGAACACATAGGGCGGTTTGAGGATAGACTATGTTTACCCCTGTGGCCTACAGAGGCTGAGGATAGATCACAAAACGGGAGCCAACACTGAAACTTTGATGGATTGGACCCCAGGGTACTAGATCGGCAGAGAGACGGTTTGCTTCAGGAGACAGGCAGCACCATCCCGCTCGCGTTGCATCCAGTCAGTCGTCTCGTCATCCTGCTCGGCGTATGTGGTCGGATCAAGTGTGTCGAACAGCGGCAGAAACATCGACGACGGTGTGCGTTGGTGTACAATACGCAGGTTTGACACGTCGCTGCTGCAGGCAACATGCGAAGCGCAGAGGATGGTTATATCGTTTAAGAAGGTGTCACGGAGTTGGCGAATATGGTGCACCGACTGGTCGGAATGTGTGTGGCAACAGTAGCTGCATACGGAAAGGCACCAACAATGGACCTATTTTATGTCATTCTGTTGGAGCAGACTTGTGATCGATCAATCATGGTACTCGAGTATGGGGTCAAGGTCATGATGTTACTGATGGATTGATTGAACGAATCTAGCTGGACTCGAAGGTCTGCCTAAGTGACCTCTCAATCCACTATCTTATCTTATCTAATCATACATGTAGGTCTGTTCATAGGTGGATCCAACAGATTTAGTACTATTTAAGGTACCGCATAGGTCGCTCTCTTAAGAAGACAGTTGAGAGAAGTAGTTAAAAAAAGCAACAAGCAGCTGCCAAGGCGCATAAAGATTGTGACCGCACCAACTGGCCTCCCAAAATGGTTGGCTTCGTGCGCTCTAATGTCACATCGCCATATGCCTCGACTTAAACTCCGAGAGCTACTACTTCACCCCTACCAATGTCTCCCTGTCCTTGGCCACACAGAGTAGTATGTCGGCAGGTTTAGTAAGGTATCAAGTGAGCAGGATGCCATTGTGACAGTCAGTGCTAGCTATATCCAGCTGTACAGAATAGACTGCCGGACCTATGTGCACGGACGTTAAGCGTGATGGCTACAACTGAAGTCCGTGCTTCTGTTCCGGGTGGATCGCCTCGACAACATTCTGCGGGTACTACTGCTAGCAAGTGGCAGCTTTGTGCCAGACGGGGGCTGGATCGGGACGGAACAACTAGGTTCCGTTGTCTACCTATAAAGGTGCCTTGTGGGCTTACCTTTAATCCGACACGGGTTGTCTGCCCCGCCCCTGCCCCCGCTTCCCCCTTTTCCCCGTAACGTTCCCAATCAAGCAGGTCGCCTAAGCCCCTTACCCACACGGCCATTAGCTGCTGCTCCTCTGTTGATGCGACATGCACTGTTTGTCTGCCGACTGATGCTTCTCTCCCAGCGGCAGGTTATTATCACTCGGCTTCTTTCTGTTGCGACTGTAAGCCAAATCTGAAAGCCCGGCCTTCCCGCTCGCTCGAACTGCACATGCCCACGTTGCTAACTAGCTTCCTCAGCAGCAGCAACTCCACAACCCGTCTAGCATGCCACTTTGTTGCGGCTGGCACTATCACCACGTCCCTCGCACTCTTTGAAATACCTAGATTCGATTATACCTAAGGAAGAAGAGACAATATCGAAGGAAAAAAGGGGAAGCTAGGATATATACATAGATATGTAGAGGTATTATGTAATACCGTCACACCTTTAGCAATAGTCGAGATCTAGCCGGACGGAGTCCAGCCCAGCCAAAATAATACTGGCGCTTCGTAGCTGCACGTAGATCCCTTGTAGTCGAGTACTAACCTGTATGTTGTCTTCCTAAGCCGCAACATAAAATGACAAGTCAGGGTATAATGCGCTCTGGCCACGAAATCGTCGACGCCAACGTCGGAGCTGCTGTCGTTTGTAGCAATATGCATAAGCCCCTTGGCCACACTTGGATACTATGGGGATAATTAGTTTGTGGGGTGATTGGTCTCCCTTATAGGTAGCTTGCGGGGGGTTGGGCGGGCGCAGCCTGGATTTTGAATGATTTACCCACAAAACTATTCCCCACTACCCAAATCGTTCGCCTATCCATCCCATGCATGCTGCAGTTGTCGGCAAATGCATCAGCACTGGACGGCTAGCCCCACATACTCTGCTAGATTAATGGTATCAAACACCTTCTGACATTTGTTGATGCCCATCGTCCTTCCTGTTACTTCCCACCGTTGACTCGTTACCTCGTCCACAAAAGACCAGTTCTTTACTATGGACGCCCAATTTGGTGAGTTTACTACTAGCAGGCATTCTAACTCTCCATACCTTCCTGCTGAAACTGATTCCAGGGAACACGGTCCTTAGAACCTACGAATCAAATGATGTAACCTACGAATTCACCAGTACAACGTTTACAAAAACCTCGCGACTTGCCTTTAATGATAAGCGGCTTGATGGCACCGACTTCGTTTGGTTCAGATCATGGTATAGAAGATGCCGTTCTCTTATCCCAAGATCATGGAATATTACTAACCTCTGAATGAGTCTTTGTCAGGAACCATGAGCGTATTACCAACGAAGCCAGAGCCTTGGAGTTAGTCAGGCGAAGAACGACGATTCCCGTGCCAAAACTACTTGATCATGGGATTCATCCGGACGGCCGGCGGTATTTGGTAACGGAGCTTATCGAAGGCATTACTCTGGATCGCTTTCAGAAACGGGGTTGCTCTCAGCCAGAGGGACAGAAGCATACAGACAATACACCATGCGAGCCATGTTCAGACCACGCGTATACGAATGCTCTCGAATTTATCCAAGGCACTGTGTTACCCCAGCTTAGGGACTTGAAATCTGGAAACCGGGGTATCGAAGGTTTTGTTATGCCACCCTCTTGGCTAAGCCCGGATGTTCAGCCTCCTTGGAAAGGCAACGTTGGATCTTGGAAGACTCTCCCGCTTGATGTGCCCATATACGAGTTCCAACACGGCGACCTCGCAGCTCACAACATCATGATGAATCCACAGACCCTTCAAGTCAAGGCTTTGATTGACTGGGAATATGCTGGCTTCTTCCCACCAGGCATGGAGAGATGGGCTGGGACGCTAGATTCTGACGTATACTATAAGCGAGGCAATTATCTTGCCGGCGCAATAGCGGAGTTCCTTCCTGAGGAATACCTGAAATGCTACGGGAAGTGGAGTGACAAGGCAGAATTAGAGAGCTTGATTGAGCTTGGGCATCTTCCATCCCCTGATCAACTCCGGTCGGCAGGTAGAGAAGAGTGATGCTTGAAGGATTAGATCACGTTGCTGAGTTGGTTATAAGACACTTGGGGAAATTTCTTGGACGATAGACGACCTTATTGGGTGGAATTTCGACGCCAACGATGCGACTCGAATCCAGATTACCGTCAAATGGGGCGAAGGCTACATGCCGAGTCCAATGGATGAGTCTGTTTTGCAACTTCAATGTCCGGATATTCTCTTTTCATTTTGGCATCACAGAGGAGGGCGCTGCATGGCAATACAGGAGAGAACGGGCATAGCACCCTCGCGCTTCCATTACTTCAAGATCGTAGCCCACGCCCCTGTCCGGGTCTCAAGGAGTGCTACAGTTAAAACGTTTCTGGTGCAATGGGTTGGCTACCCCGCACTGGGACCACATGCGACTTGGGAATTGGCGCGGAAGGTTTCAGAGGGTGCACCTGGACTTGTGAAGGAGTACTGGGACAGTTCGGGCGTTTCTCTGGCTTCATGATTTATGAGCCAAAGCCCCAAGAAGCTATTAGCGATAGCTATAGAGGTTCAGTGCCGGGCCCATATTACCCGCTGCCTTACAACTGTAATGCCAACCTTCTCAGGCTGCCATGGCGTCTCGCTAGTATTTATAAACAATGCTGCTGGAAAACAGTCACCAACAGCTTGTCGAGCAGCTCTCAGCTCCTTCACGCCGATACCATTAGCCATCATCACCAACGGATTCAGAGGTGCTGACATCTCTAACGTTCAATGATGGCACTCCCGTGGCAACACAGCGAGAATTACCACTTTTCCAGACAATCGGTGCGGCTGCACAACAGGCTTCCACTTTTTAAGAGTCAGTATTCCACTTCTCAGACTTGCACAACTCAGCCTTCTCAACAAGACCACCAGTCACTGAGTAAGAGACACCTGCGACTCCATCTCACGATAACATTGCCACGGAACAACGGATATCAGTCCCTTGTGCGTACCGCCCACGGCAAGCACCGAGCCACCTCTGGCAACCAGTTGGAAATCAGGATTCGTGCCCATCCTTGTCACTGTTTGTGATCTCCATATCCTCCATCCCTGTCGCTGTCTTTGGTTACGTAGTAGGCTTGCCCCCATCCCTGTCACTATTGATGACTACGTAGTCTCTTCTCAAAAATAGGTTGCGGGCAAGTAGAGTCCGGCGGCTTTAATTAGCGTGTACGCTTCTCAACTTTGTTGAACTTGCCAACATGGCACTCCCCAGATTGGCCACATGACGCTGGCTGCAGCATGGATATCCCACAGTATAAGGAGAGGAATACCAGCCCTGCAACCCATGACAGCACCACCACACATCTCATCCTTCGTCATTGATCTTCCTTCGTCGACCTCATTCGGATTTCCATAGACTTTTCACACAACATGCATAGCGGAACGTCCAACCTCTCCGACATGCTGTTACTCACAGCTTCGGCTCGTGCTTGTCAGGAAGCACGAAACGTCCCTCGCCCAGCAAGCTACGACAGCGGTGTTGCGGACTGTTCTTGTTCGCAGCGGAGGAGATACGACAACACGCATAGGATCCGGGACGTCCCCCGGCCGAAAACTTACGAAAACGGCGCTTCGGATCATCTGCAGCGGAGAGGGGAGTACAATACGCGTGGTGTACGGGACAGCTCCAGCACGGAAAGTTACGAGGGCGACGCTGGGAGTATTCCACAGGAGAGGACATCTCTCAAGGCCCCGAGTATCGCGTGAGTATAGCCCGGGGCTCGGTCCATCCAGGTACTGCACAAGTGCTAACTCATATCCTCAATTTAGTTCGCGGAGTACACGCAGTACATATGTGGCGGCCCCGTTCTTCCCGACAGCCTTGGAGAAGCTTCGCGACAGAATATGAGTTTCCCAATCGACTGTCAGGCGTTTAGTGGAAGGTGAGTTTCGTCTCTCTACTCGGGGACGTACGTCTTGCTGACCCTCGAGGACAGCTGTACTTTAATAGCATATCGATCAACTATATATCCTATGCAATGCGGCACAATGAGCCTCGAGACGCTCGTCGCCCGCTGTTTGAGGGAGCCAGTATGCCTGCAACATCACCCACGTTCCGCGGTCAGGCTCACAAGAAGCCTATGTGAGGGGAAGCAACATCACGTCCTTGGACGATTACTACTAGCACACGGCGCGCTCACATTCCGCAGCGCCGAGCCCGGACTCCAGAGCCAGCAGCGTCGATCCCAAGGCCAGCAACGTCGATCCCACAGCCAGCAGCATCGATCCCAGCTTAAAAGGACACCTCATCTTTGCTGTACTATGCCTGATGGAAGAGGAGGTTTACGAATCGGGGCAATGACACCAATCAGCCGATCTGGGCGGGGGTCCGGTAACATGGGCGTGGTCATATCAATGCTACCTCATTCCATTATTTTCCTGCAGTATTCTTTCGCAAATGGCTATTGAGAGGGGGTTGCAGTCGGTCCTGAGCTGGCTGTAGTCTCCCAATAATGTTCAACTGTGCGAGATGTCATGCGCCGTGCCCATAGGGGCTGCGTGACGTAGGTTGCACCAGTATGGCACACTTCATGTCGGATGTCTGCTGCATAGGTAATGCAGTGGAACGAGCACAGCCAGCGAAAAAGGCAGAAGTATGCTTTTATGTGTCATCCTATTCCATGAGACCCAATTGAATACCTGCTTGGTATGTAGTATATAAACCTGCTCAGTCAAGATGCCAATAGAGTTCAGCTTATTCACAAGGCATCGAGCCTCTTCACCTCATATCATTCACAAGAATTGAAGACAATAATATTACGGTGACGTCTAAGTCAAAGCCAACATCACTCTCCTACTTCACCGCCAACCGATTTCGTCCAGTGGCATCAATTTCCTGGGAGCCCAGTACCCACAACATCGTCTTCAATCATGCCTCCAGGTTCCATCAGCAACTTAGACTGGTAAGTGAGACACCCGAAACCTCGGATTCTACTAACAAAACGACATGAAAGGGAACCTGGCTACGATACCGTGGCAGTGCACGGTGGCCAGGAGCCCGATCCTGGTAACGGATCAAGAGCAGTGCCGATATTCCAAACGGCGAGCTATGTATTCGATGACGCTGAAGATGGTGCCGCGAAATGTTCATGGAGTAAAGATGGTTATCTTTACACCCGTCTAGGTAATCCAACGAACAGCGTCTTCGAAAAACGAATGGCCATGCTAGAGGGAGGCGTTGGCGCAGTAGCTACTGCGTCCGGACATTCAGCACAGGTAAGCCACACCATGCCGACGGCATTAATGCAACGTCAATTGCAACACAGCTGATTTATGCATTCACAGTTCATGGCCCTGACGCAATGCTGCAAGCCGGGTGATAACATTGTGAGCACAAGCTGGCGTAGGTCCCTCCCCCTGCCCCCCCTCCCGCCCCCACTGCTGCTCAGACTCCCCGCAACCAGCCATCCCCTCCTACCCAAGCCAAGTATACTGCTCTGCCTGATTGACTCATAGTATACGGGGGTACATTCAACCAATTTCGGGTCTATTTCCCGAGCTTCAACATCCAGGTCAAGTGGGTTCAGGGCAACGACCCTGTCGACTTCGACAAGACCATTGACGAGAATACGCGTGCTGTCTATATCGAGACCGTCAGCAACCCCAAACAATGCGTGCCTAATATCCCAGCCATCGCAGCTGTCGCCCACAAGCATGGCATTCCTCTCGTCATCGATAACACGTTTGGCATGGCAGGGTATCTATGCCAGCCCATCAAGCTTGGAGGTTAGTGAACTTTTTCATCATCGAGACACCATCCAGGGTATTATCGAAAGTTTGTTTGACGAGTTCGTATGGGCGACTATACGAAGCTACACTTCAATTCCCATGAGAGCAGCTGCTGATGACCTGATATTGTCATATAGCCGACATAGTGACGCATTCGTGCACGAAATGGATCGGTGGGCACAACACCAGCATGGGTGGTGTGGTGATCGATGGGGGGCGCTTCGAGTGGGGTTCCGCTCTCTCAGCGGCCAAATTCCCTGGACTGACGGAGCCGGCTCCTGGGTACCATGGCCTGCGATTCTGGGAGACATACGGACCGCGAGCGCTATCAGCCAAGCTTCGAATGGACTGCATGCGTGACCTGGGCCCCTGTATGAGCCCGTTCAATGCGTGGCTGTTCCTACAGGGCCTCGAGACGCTACCATTACGCGCCCAGCGTACCGTCGAGAATACCCAGCGGTTGGCAGAGTGGCTAGAAGCGAATCCGTATATCAACTGGGTGCTTTACCCTGGGTTGCGGTCTCACCCGGATTACGAAAGGGCACAGAAGTTGTTACCTAGAGGAGCAGGCGGGGTCCTTACATTCGGCGTGGTACGTACACGATGACCTCAACTTGAATGATATACGAGAATGTCCGTATAAGGCGAGTGCTGACGCAGACCATCATTCCTCACAGGCTGGCAAGGTGGACGAGGTCCGCGCTGTCGTCGATAACCTCAAGATGTGCAGCCACGTCGCGAACGTGGGCGATTGTAAGACCCTCATTATTCACCCATGGGTCACAACGCACCAGCAGCTGCCCGACGATGACAAGATCAAAGGCGGTGTTACGCGTAAGTGGCTCAACATTACACCATGTCGCTCGATTGAGATTCTGTGTTTCTCACATGTTGCATCCACGCAGCCGATCTCTTGCGTGTCAGTGTGGGAATTGAAGACTTCGTGGACATCAAGCGTGACTTTGAACAGGCCTTCGCAGCAGCGGGACTCAAGCCGGCGGAGAAGAAGGGCGGGGACCCTTTCACAATGGCCATGGACTTGGTGAACGCGGGGTTTATGGGCAAGGAAGCTACCGGTGCTCCCCGAACGCAACAGCCCGGGGATTAATGGCATATAGTGGCCATGATCGGTATGATTTCATGGTTCTCGAGGGGATGATGTCGCACGGATAATTCGGCTTTCTCACTTGCTCTCAAGATGCCAGATGACCATGTTATGGAGGATCGCCTAGCTCGCAGATTGAAGCATAAGGCAGCTTCCCTTCACTTATTCAAAATGTACTCTGACTCTGGCCACAAGATACTTCCTGTCCTAAACGTTCACGGTGCATCCCCTCTATACTTGATCGTTAGCTGCATCTGGCGATTACCGGCGGTCCCCGGAGAAGAAGCTGTGGCCGTTTGATTTCACCTCCTCGAGTTGCTGCTTATTATCAAATACTGTAGCTCTAACTTGCGATTCTCACCGTAGCAGGTAGTTCCGGTCTTGTACATCTATAATGAATTCTTCTACAAGGTTCATTGGGATGAGAGGTGGCGCCAACATTGGTTCCAAGCGGCGTTGCAGGCATTCCGGACCACCGTTTGACTCAAGAAGTGATATCTCCTGATTGAGATGACGCCAGATGTTTACAGAGGCGAAGCTTGTAAGACTGAGACACAGATGCTATCTGATTTAGGTACAATCCTCCATTATCCATACTGACAGCAAGGTGCCAAGTCAGATCACCTTGGTAAGCCCTGGCCCAACCTTCAGAAGGCGACTCGTAGCGAGACTCGCACTGGAAGCCGCAAGCAGCGCACCGCACCACACAATCAAGCCAACCCAGTTTCCGTCACCTCCTAGAATAGCACCGGCGATGGGGTTGCTGATCAGCACGCCAAAGCCTAGGAATGCGAGCGTCATGCCGAGGCGCGTGCCGATCTTGCTTTTATCAGACGATAGGCTGACGATTCCGGCAGCAGGGAGCCCCAAGAAGGCGCCGTTCATGAAGCCAAACAGCACGCAGAAGACGACTAGTCCAGCGGTACCCTTGATGGCAAGGAGGGCGAAGGTCAAAACGGTGCTGGCAAGCACGACAGTAATCTGCACATTGATGCTTCCTACATGGTCCGCGTAATAACCCGGGATCAAGCGACCAGGCAGCGAGGAAGCGTTGATGATGACGAGAAGGTAGCCACCCAGGTTAGCTGAGACGTCAGTCCGTGCTAGGGCGAGCAGTTCGACATAGTACAAGATGATGTAAAAGCCCATAATGCCGAAGAAGAGCCCCAAGCTGAAAAACAGGTATGGCGTGTCTCGGAAGGCGGAGCGGTCAACCAGGCCTCGGGTCAGTCGTGGAGGGGCCTTGGACTTCATCAGTAATACGGGGACCAAGGATGTCGCCAGTACGATGAAAGCTAGCACACGGGTCGCCCAGCCGAACCCGACTCGCGGTTGCAGTCGGGTAAAGATCACAGGGTAGATAATCCCGCCTGTATCATTATTACTTGTCAGAATCGAGTGCATACTAAGCGTCAAGAAGTGATGGCACGTACCGATTGCGCTGCCTGTGGATGAGGCGCCCATGGCTAAGGCCATGCGTTTGTGGAAGTATTGAGAGACCACAGCGGGAGCCGGCAGGTACAAACAGCCAAACCCAAGGCCGGTCACCAACGCCTGCGTCAAGAAGACCTGCCAATAGGCCGATGTGATGCTGAGGAGAAAGGTGCCAACCACCAATAGGCCAGAGCCCACCCAAAGGAGCCAGCGGAGGTGGCCGGCATCGAAGAGTGGTCCCGCGGCGAGAGAGACGAGGAAGAGGAAGAATGCTTGCGTTGATCCGATCCAGGCTATGCTCGACGACGAGTTCCCGCTCAGCATGTCCAACTGGTAGAAGGTCTGGAAGACACCGTACGAATTCATGAGCCCCCATGTGTTGAGGTTCAGGACGAAGGCTCCCAGCACTTGCACCCACGAGAGCAAATTCTCTCTAGGGGGAGATGGGGACTCCTGTGTTTGCTCGTCGATTCCCACAGGCTGAACGGCGCTGGGTTGCTCATCGCGTTTCTCGCTCGCCATGGTGGCCTCTGTCTCTGTCGCCATCACCATTTGTTAGACTAGAATTGCTGCGCTATGCATGTGACAGCTTGTGAACCAAGAAGGAAGCGGTCGCGAGGCTGTCTGGAAGGCCTGACCGTGATTCGACGTGTGTAATCAGTCTGCGAATGTTGGTAGCCGGATCGTGGGTGTGAAGGATTGCAAGTGCATGGCTATCAATGTTGTGTGAATCACCGGTACTGGTCTAGCCACCGTGTCGCTAAGCTCAGTCTGATTCGGTCTCAATATAAAGTCTCCAACGGCCCATAGGCTCATGTCGCAACGAACACGACATGGTAGCACTCAACGATGGTACACCATGCATCTGACCTCTGTATCAGGCGCCTAACGTACCCGCTGGACATTCGGTGTTTAATTTCACTTGTGTAACGCAGAGCGTGAACCCCAACGTCGTAATCAGTCTATCCCAAATGCCCCCAGCCAGTAGGTGCTACAAGCCTCGCCGAACAACCTCGGGAGGCGTAAGGCTCTCTCATGTCGTGATCAGTGTCTTCCCGGAGTACTACCTTCTGGGTCGTAGTAGGTCGAAAGGATACTACGCCGCCTCCAACAGAATTGGGTACCACCCCCTAGATTAAAAGCGACCATCCACGGCTGGCGTTGCCGCGTTGAGGTTTGGTCATTGAGGCTTGGGCTTCGCACGCCAGAAGCACGTCTCTTGAATGGCGTCAGGGACGGTAAGTCAGGCTGCATCCCGGCGACATAGGTGCACAGCGATAAGCCCTGCAGCTGCCGGCCGGTAGTCGCCGTCACACCCATTGCCGTTCGGGAATGGACCTATTGCCAGGGCTGTGGCAATCCTGGGGTCATCCGGCAGCTCGCCCAGGGTTACCCGCGCGATGAGTCGAAGCCAGAAGCTGCGCTCCAACCGCGGATAGCCAGCGCCCCGTGCCGTCTGTTATACGCAGTTGGAACGCTGCTGGCGTGTAGCGTTTCAGTCGTTGGTGGTACCCCGGACATGCCTACATGTACTCCAACAGGCTCAGCCTGAGACGGTGTGCGGGAGGTCCTCTATCAGGCCTACCATGCGGGCTCCGGGGTAGTATTCCAAGACCCAGAGAGTCGCATTGATGTCGCGTCGGGCTTCCAAGTCGCGCATCGATAAAGTATTTACAGCACATCACAACGCCTACAGCAATCACAGCGCTGCTTGGCTTCACGAGTCTGCATGGCCATGCACCGGTCTGTCATCACCAACACAGTTCAAGCAGGTCGTCACATTAGCGGTTAGGTACTGGTGGTGGTATATGTACCAGGACAAAGACAGAACTAGATAACATCAATACACACGGTGCCCGTCCAAACTTTATCAGTACCCCCATTCCACTTGGCATACTCCATAAAAGCGTAGTTCACGATCACCCTACCCAACTCCCCTCCATCTCGATCCCTGGATTTTCAACCCTTGAAGTAGGTTTAAGGTTCGCACTACGGTTCACATCCAATACGGTTGGGTTGGGTACTTTCATCACTGCATGATCATCGTCCAATCCTCTTAAAGGGACCCCCTTTTCGGAGCCATGTGTGATGCAATCTAATTATTAATAAGGCCCCATGGCGTATTACATAGTTATCCCGTTCCCGCTGTGTATGCAGCAGAGTCCAATATTACGACTAATAATAGCTTATGCACCTGCTGTCTCGACCGGCCAAAGCACACGTCCGTCGGGGCACGACTTGAATCGTTCAATCATCGGCCCGGGAACTTCATCTTCGTGCTTGAAGCAGGCCGTCCGCTCTAGAGCCCACTTCTCCAGACTTCCCCAATCCCTACACAACCTGACCTGTCCGGCCCCCGTGCCAGGTGCCTGGAAGCCAGCGTAGCGCGGGGTATCGTCAGCATTGCATATCACGTCTTGCCGCAACTGATCAAGACAGTGCAAGGCGTGGACGAGGGCAATGTGCTGAGGCAGCTTCTGCTCCGCATACATCACGTAGCGAAACAACGTGCGCTGGACGTCAACAAGTATCGTCAGCGACTGTCCACTGATTCATTCATTGATCAGCATGGACTTACGAGACAGTGGAGATTGTGGAAGCCCTGCAACAAATAAACGCCTTTGTCTTCGTCCCAAGGAAATCGAAGAGCATGGGGCAACATCTTGCCTGTGACATAGTCTTGCGAGAGCGCCACTACACCTGCATCACCACTGAACTTCTCCCATAGCTCAGTGACCATGGTGAGGTTATCACCAGTGTAGGCAGTGTTTGGGTTGATCTCAATAGGTACTTTGCGCTTGAGGCCAGCTACCTAATTGTCAGCCATGACATGGGTGGCGTGGTGGGAAGGGGGGCGAGCCGTAATACGATGGACAGTCTCCTTCTTGTCGAGACGGATGCTGGCCGTGACCAACAGTAAGAGCGACGTTGGTTGCAATAGAAATCAATAAAATGACTAGGAGGAGCATGAGCGCCCATGGTGAACATGACGGGCCCTTCGAGGTGTCTTGGTGGATGTTGTCGACCAAGTCATCTACAGAAGCCCGTCGAAGCGGTCGATATTCCTTAAGGTCTGGTGCCATCTGTAGGTGTGTGGAAGCCAGCTTGGCCTGAATGAATAGAGACACATGTAATTAAGATAAAGTTAGAAGAGTTTCATGTCGGCGACGGATGATGTACGAACAGGACATCTTCCTAAGGCAGGTGACACAAGCCGTGCCCTTGGGCGGGGAACGCCGGGCCGACGTGCATATTGGAGGGATGCGTCCCAGCTCAAGGGGCGCTGTCATGCTACTACACATTGATGAAGGTTCATGTAGGCTGCGAGACTTGTATTGCTCCTGCGACCAGGACTATTCTGTGAAACGACCGGCTAACTATGTTCTTCGCATCCACGTTAAATACAAAACAAACAAACAAACAAACAAACATATGTTCTTCGCACTTCCACCATAGATAACGAACACCGTTGGCAGCACCCTTGCTACCACGGGTATGCATGGACTGTGCATACCCTGTCTATTCGGCACTTGCATCTACCCATGACTGATCAACGCTTGCTGGGTAGACTACAGCTTCGTCGGAGTCCGTGTCTGCACAAAGATTATTAGTGCCTTGCGACCAAGCTAAGACGGAGTCATGCAGAGCCTCATCGAACGTACCAGAGCGAGCATCGACCCACGACTGGTCTACACTGGCGGGATAGACGACAGCTTCGTCAGAGTCGGCAGCTTTGGTAATACTTAGTAGCTTTTCATAGCAGAGTAGCCATCGTGATACTTACCGCCTCGTGCATTGGGGCGGATGGCGGCAGCTGCGGCCATGCCAGCCATTGCATGAACCATGAATAAGATGGCCTTCATGTTGGCGTGGTTGATAACGGGCTTTGAGTGAAGAAGTACTGGCTGTAGTTTTCGGTTGCTGGAGAAGAGTGAGCCAGGGTGTGGATCTACTTTACACCCACGGATGGGACGAATCTTATATGCCCATGTCCAGGGGCCAGTCCTTACACTTCATGTGGTAGAACCATCCTCAACACGTCCACTGGCCGTGATGCAGAGCATAGCCAATCCCGCGATGCACTCGAGTCAGTAAGGTGGTACTATTCCGTCAAGTCATTCCACACGTTGGTAGCCTCCTCTCGTGGTGTGAAGATCATTCCACTTTACGGCGCATCCAGAAACCTGACATTGAATCGGTGCACAGTCCTTTATCTGCATGGTCCAAACCACCAACTGCATATGCACATCGCCCATTCCGTCGCATCAATCTGTCACTTCTCCTCCTTGGTGTAACCCTCCCCAACGTTCTGAATCCCACACCCCAGTGGAGTATCATTCAAAAGGCAGATTCCTCTCTGATTGGGACGGAAGCGATCCGCTGGTCCTTCGGTTCCTTCGGTTCCAAGCCCCTGACCAATATTGCTTGGAGGTCAATGTGACCCAAGGAAGCCTCGTAGGTTGTTGACTCGATGCTCCTCTGCCCAACCAGCCAATTGGCTGTAATTCCGGCAGACGCGGCCGTTCCCCCACCCAGTCACGCCACCCAGCGTTGGATCGACGGGCTCCATCGTCGCATCAGCTGCGCAAGTGAGGCTCTGCCGTAGGTAGTCGAAACAGTGGCGCATGTGAGGAGAGGTCATGTTGTCCCTATGGGCGGAATCAAAGCGCAGTGCAGCGTAGTAGTTGCGGTGGATTGACCACTAGAGATGGACTTAATCAGTGATTTCCGCTGCCACGTCCCCAAGAAGATGTGTTGGACTGTGGCACGTACCAAACAGTGCAGTTGGTGAACCACGGACAATGTGTAGACTTGTTGGCTATTCGGAGGAAATCGTACTGATCCTTGGCCGACTGCCGTCGCCGTCGGTCTCGTTAGCCATAGTAGACCTCCCGGGAGTACTGGTCCACGCAAAAACTGCATGTACATTGAGATAGTGACATACGAGGTACGATAGATTGCCATGCCTCCTCGGTGGCAACGTTATCGTGTGGATCCGCGCCAAACGTACGATTGTACGTGAAGGTCAAGTTGATCGTCTGGATGCTGATATCGGGCGAAGGGCCTGACTCCGATCCAGGCATCACATGCGGATAGACTCCGGGTACCGAGGCATCCTTGACGGAGTTGGCACCTATCGCGATCCCTAGGATGAACGAAAGCGTTATAACAGCCACTGGTACAAGCATGCCACTGATTCGAGTCATCATGCTCCTCTGGGGGCTTGGGCCTATGTCGCCCGTGTCGCTTGGGATAGGGGAGTAACCGAGCATTCTTCTGTATGCCCGCATTGCTGTTTAGAGTGACTAAGTAGGTGCAACTGCCTGCTGATGGTGATGATGAAGGATGAGCTTCACTCTCGACGATTCTCAGGTTGTATCCGGGTGGATATACCTGTACCAAGGTTGCAGTAAGTTCACCTACATCGGCTTCATCACGGCGCTCTCTGCAGGCTGGCTCGAGTACTATCTTCGCGGGTCGGTGGGCCCCCAGGTGCGATGCAAGACGTTGGTGACCCCACGAGCCTTACCCCAACGACACGTACATGGTTACCTATGTCACCATGCTTCTCGTCGTCACCTTGCAGCTTCCCTTGTAATATTGATCAGATGTTTACCGAGTCTCGCACCATAACTTAGAATGGCTACCAAGGTACCTAGTAGATATTAACTCACGGCAGTCGAATTTGCTACCCAACCAAGGTGGGTTGAGATTCCACTACAAGCACTCCGTGGTGCTCCTAGTGTCTATGGCCCAGCCGTACAGCAGTCCTGAACCAACTACTTTCAGTGGTATCAGAGCAATCATTCTCACCACAAGATACACTAATCGAGAGTCGTATGACTAGGTGACTTTGCGGTCCACTCCACCAGCTCACTTTATCACATCACATAATCATGCTCGACTTTCACGACGCCGATGGAAAGGACGATGACGACATGAGAAATGATACTGGGGAACCGTTGCTCGCAACTGAACGTATTCGTTGCGGTAAAGGTCGACAGATGGCGAAATGCTGGAAATCACCACTGCAGCTGCCATGGTATCTCCATGGATTGTTGCTCTTGGTCTACTCCAGTGTCTATCTGCTGTTGGTTCTCTCAAAACTTCAGCCATCATGCCTCGAACAATCACGTCCTGCAAACCTCACCCGCCCTCGTAAGCTCCATATTGCTCTCTCATAACTAGAACAGTGCCTCTAACATCACAAAGTCCCCTCCCGAGAAGGTCTCCAATGGGGGGAACGCAAGTTCCCGACCAACATAGTTGACAATCCTTTTACTGGAGCTCCTCGACCAGAGCTAGATGAAGCATGGCATCGTCTTCTGCTTAGTGCGTGACCTCTTCGCTGGTGTATAACCTATTGTTTCTTCCCCCGGGTATAGTCTAATGTTCATCACCAGATGACAATATCCGGGTCCCGAAGTCCTATCTCGACGAGCAGAACTTGACATCGGTCTATACCAAAGATGGACTTGAGGGCATTGCGTCACTCAGCGCGTATCACTCATTACACTGTCTCGTACGTTTGGTCGCCGCGACATGGTGGGCCAGTCCATGACACTGACCAACACAGAAAAAAGTGAAGAAGATGCTATTCAAGGAGTATTATTACCATGAGAAAAGTGATGAGGCCATGGCAAGAGAGGCCAAACACGTCGGTGAGTTCAACAAAACTCACCTTCCTTGACATTGTCATCGAGGGAACTAACGGTACATAGACCATTGCGTTGAATACATCCGCGAGAGTCTCATGTGCCAACCTGATCTCTCCATGGTAACCTTCCGGTGGATCAACAATACGGCACAACATGAAGACAAATCTGCCTTTTATCCCACGAACTTCGACGTTTCACTCCATACTTGTGCCGACTGGCAGGCGCTTGATACATGGGCCGGGGAGCGGGTGTTTGATCTCTTTCAGGTTGATCTGCTGAAAAGGCCAGAGCCTGACCAAAGCAAGCGATTGTAGTGACAGATCAGCAACAATCAAGAACTTGAAGCTATCGGAGGGTGGAATCAGGCGTTATGAGAAGACTTGGAGTCTCACATCTACTTATCAATGCACAAATCACGACGTCAAATCATCTTAAGCCCAAGTGAATGTGATTGAACTTCCATGCTTTCATGGAAAATAATCGCGGCTATCATATGAGTCCCAGACCTATGATCATCCACTGACTATCGGTAAGCGAGTGCAGTCCCAAGTCTCACCAGTCTCCTCACTCCTGGAGCATTGCTTCCACGATCCCATCTGCATCCTCTTGCAAGGGTGGCCAGACTTTGACAACAGTAAGCCCAGCTTTCTCGAGCAGTGATCGCCACTGGTTTTCGGTTCTTTCCATGCCTGCGTTGAAGGCCATCATAGTCATGTCTAGCATGGCATGGAAAGTTGACGCGCCCTGTTCAGGTATGATCATCTCATGTAGCAGTAACTTTGAGTAGCCAGGTTTCATGGCTGCCTTGACTTGCTTCAGTATATCCAAGCAGATCTTGTCGGACCAGTCATGCAGGATGTGATGGTAGAAGTATGATCGCGCCCCTGCTGAAGGTGAGTATGCATTCTTCTTGGACTATGAATCCCTTACCTTTCACCGGCTGCTCGGTGAAGAAGTCATAAGTCATACACTCAATGGATGTATCAATGTCTTGCAAGTTGTCGACGATAGGTGCCAGATCCTGGAGAACGAGACGACCTTCTTGCTTCGGGTATCGTGCCTGAAATGCAAGCAAGTCATGGCCTCTCCCAGCACCTACATCCACGAGTAGGGCTGACTCTTTGTCGATAGTCACTCCTTCAAGCAGCCTCTCCTTGACAGGGAACCAGTCAACCCAGTATTCTCGGGCACCCATCGTATTCCCCATGAATAGATTGAAGTCTCTCAAGACACTCGGCTTGGTGGTGAAGAACTGGAACGTGTTCAGCTTCGTCTGGTATGCGTACTGCATGAAACCATCGTGCGGATCGACAGGGCAACAGAAGCCGGCCTCCTGAAGATATCTAGGCCCTTTGTGTGCCGCCCCCACAAGCATTTCACCGCTAGATGGGACACCGTCAACATGATTCTTCGTAATCCAGACACATACATCTGAGCTCGAGATGGATGCTATGACTTACACCATTCTATGTCCAGCAGCGATCTCTTCTGTAGCCATCGCCTTGGTGACTGGCGTGGCTTCCCAAGTTCGTTCGCCAACCTCATCGACGAAACCAATCGAGGCCAGGGGCCTCAATGTCCGAACTGCGAGATCCGTCAATAATCCCGCGGCAAATGCGCTGTGAACCATGGGGCTGCCATACTGATCAACAGTTCTTCCCCGCCCGACTGGGATTCCAATTCCTTTGAGGTGATAGCGCTGCCATGGTTCGCGATGATCTTGAAGAGGTCAAGATCCACGGCGATTCTGGCGGCTATAGCGACGAAAGGCTGATCGGTGATTTGGATCTTAGTAGGTGCCAACAGGACAAACAAGTATTTGGAGCACATACCGAGAATGCCAGTTCCACAGCCACATTCTCCGGCTGTTCAAGCGTTCCCGCAAGCCTTTTGCTCAATTGCAGGGCTTCCTTTCTTGCGCTCTGGTCATCACTGGAGAGCTTTGCGCTGAGATTGTTGAGCTGCGCTATGAGCGCGGCAGCCTGGTTGGATGCCATCTTCTCAGGGCCTGGTAGAGCTGCGGGGGGCCGGACCAGTCGTCAACTTTGGTTCTGGCTAATAGACGAGCAGGAAGAAGAAGACCAGAATTGGGAAAGCAAAGAGATGACGGGACGAAGCAGAGGGGGCACCGACCCTGGGTAGGACCGTCTGGCCAGTCGCAGACCGCGCAGGACCCCCAAAACTTGGCTGTTCCTTGCTCCGCCACTGGTCTCGCTTGACTCAAGAGACACCGAGGGGTTCGCGTAGAGCACCCGCCGTACACTGCAAGGCTCGGCTCGTGTGATCTCCACGACAAGGGGTCCCGTCAAATCCCGCCTACTTTGTGTGACAACTTTGGGCGGGTGGATGGAACACTGTGGTGGATGCAGGAGGTGGCTTGTAAGGCAATTGAGGTGCGCCACCAACAATAGACACATTGGTAGTCCGACAAGGATAGCCGCAGCACACCCCTTATGTTCTTCATGCGTGTCAGACCACTCTCTGCAGGCAGGCTGGCGATATATGTGTCGAGCGTCTCTAGGGGGCCCTCTCCCCCTTCCCCCCCAAAGAACTACACGAACGCGTCGCCCTCCTCTACTACACAGCGTCCCAGAGCTTCACTACCATGGAGAATAACGGCTCTGACGACCTTGGGCTTGCCGTCCTAGGCGTCGCCTGGGCTCTTGCTGGGATCTCGATCATCATCGTTATAGCCCGATTTTACGTGCGCCTCCGAATTGTACGGAAGTTCAGCGTCGATGACTGCATCATTCTCTTCACCCTGGCGAGTTTTATCCCCATGCGTGTGTCTATGTAGCTATGCCGACCCGCAGTTCGCTGATTATTATGTGTTAGCTTCTTGGGTTATGCAACAGTATATTTCTAACCATATCTGCGTCTTGGGGACTAGGAAAACACATTGGTACCCTCGCAGCTACTCCCGAGCGCGTCATGCATACCATCAAATGGGTGTATCTTTGCGAATTCTTCTCTATCATGTGTCCTGGATTTGGTCGAATCTCCTACGCATTCCTCCTCCTGAGCATCACACCACCTACAAAAGCGAGGCGAAGATCTCTGTGGGCCGTTATCGGTATCCAATTCGTGGTCGACGTAGGCACAGTTTGCATCAGCTTCTCCCAATGCAGACCCATAGAGGGCTTCTGGGACAAAAGTCTCCAAGCGGATTGCTGGGACCCTACCGTTCAGCAATACACGGGCTACTTCCAAGGATGTTAGTAGACAGACAGCGTCCCCATCATTAACCTCTTCAGACACAGCTGGCTGATGAACCATAGCTGTATGCTCCGCTGTGGACTTGTTCCTTGCACTGTTCCCCTGCAGTCTCTTTTGGAACTTGAACATGCATTGGAAGCAGAAAGCGTTTCTCAGTGCACTAATGGGGCTGGGAATCTTGTGAGTTGCCTGTGGTCCCAGTTGTTGCGAGGTTTGGCCCCACGTCTGACTTTCAACTCTTTCTAGCGCCATGGTTGCATCAATCGTCAAGACAGTTCAGCTTCGAGCAATCACTCAAACGGATGACCCGACATGTAAGAAGCCAGCCTAACACTAACTGTCCGAAGCTAACTATGATATCACTTCAGATGCTATGGCTAAGCTTGCCATTTGGTGGACGTACGTAAACACGCTTTGGAAACAAGCTTCCAAGACTGTGATATTGACGGGTTCACTAGATTCGAAGCCTACTTCGTCCTCATTGCTGTTTCGATACCGACTATTCGTCCCATCTTCAAAAACCCGAAGTCCATAATGCGAGACCGAAGAAGTTCTAACAATACCAACACATTCCTTAGGTGGCATCGAAGTCATGGCAACGTGTCAAGGGAGAACAACGGTCGATTCGAGCCTCTACATGAGTCTACATTACACAACGAGATCACCGGATACGAGATGGGCGGCACTGATACTCCTGGGGACACCCATCCTAAAGGCATACGGAAGGATATATCAGTGTCAGTGACTTTCGGACAATCTACAGAACAGCCAGCAAGCATGTGAAGGGCTGACGCCGTAGGGATTTTGCTTCGGCCTGTTTAGGATGTCGAAGAGCTTGGATTTCGATAGCTGCAGTTTGGATTGAAGACGGGACTTGCAATGATAGCTGTACGATAGACTGCAATGTAGCCGCGGACTCGATTTGAATTCTAAAACGAGAACCGTCTTTATCCATCACGTGGTTCGGTGACTGTGTGTACCACAACCTACAGCCAAAGCGGAACCCTTGGTTCGATTCGATACCTAATCCATGTATTAAATATGTTGGAGATCTGGCGTTGCCGCTGAGGTCCAGTCTCTCGTACCCTACACTCTCGTAATTAGACGAGCCTTCGTGTGACTGCTGTGCTTCCCCTCTTCACCTCTGATACGGAGCTCTGGGTTAACGGCGCAACAGTAGTGCGAAACTGCGTAGATTTTGAAAGCAACCTGTCACCGGTGGGTGTTGGGTTTTCAAGACACCAGGCACAGCCTTCAGAAGATAGGCAAAACCGACTAGATCTAGACGACCGTGTCCAGAAGGCTCTCAATCTGGCTCGAATTCCCTATTCTTCGGTGCCCTCGGGCGGTACGGACGGGTGCGGACATTGCGGCCCGGTTCCGGCGATGGTGCTGCTGAACGCCGACCACGGTCGGGTTCCGGTGACCGTCGTTGGTAGGGACAGCTCTTCTTAACCGTGTCATAATTCCCGACAAGATGCAGTGTGCGGGGTAAATGCTATGAAGGGGGCCATTCAGGGGTTCTTTATAAGTGGCGTTCCTTTGTCAACACTCATCATTCCGAACGCGTCAAAGCCATGCGCGAAGTGGTGTGAGATTTCAAAGTGTTCTATTAAGGAGAGGAATTCCAGCTACTCTGGAGCGGCCAGAGTGGCCCTATATATCCAAGATACTAAAGGAAAGGATACGTGGCCTTATGTGGCCACGTATGTGACAGAGTCACA